GAGTCTAATGTTTTCAACTTCAAACAATATTAAGCTGAAACATTGCTGTATGTTTACTTTTTATTTTTAAACGTAGCTACAGTATGGAATTATTAGGAAATTCTAAAAAAATGAAATACAATAATTTTGTGTCTTCAGTGTAATTGTGACAGAATGAATAGTGTAGGTGTACATTAAATTCCCAGTACAGTACAGTCTCACCTCATTCCTGTCTGCAATGAGGTGAGACAGGCAGTACTGTCAGTGTCACAGCAAAAAGTGTCCTGTTAAAAGTCCATCAAGCATGCAATCAAGACCTTTATGTTCTGACTTAAAAAATGAACATGCAAGATGGAGTGTGGAGGTTATATTTAATAACATTTAGTACAAACATACCTACTGTATATGCATTTTCAGCTTGGCTTTCAAAAAGAATCAAGGCGGCGTGAATCATCATTTTGTGAGAATTTGCTATTTTCTAACACAAAGAAAATAGAGATTGTTTAATTATGGTAATATGCTGTAACACGGTAGCTGTGTTGGCCTTAAATCTTATTTAACATACAGTACTGTAAGTAAAATCTAAGTGATAGTTTTCTTTTGGACAAAACTGATTCATATAAGTTTGACCTAAGGGTATTTGAAACTGCATGTAACTGCTGTAGCTTAACACATTGCAGAAAAATACTGCTTTAATTGAAACTGTTCTTAAATAATATAATTTGTGAATTGTATAATTCATTATTATGTAGTATAGCCCTCTCTGAGTCCTGTTATTTTAGTGATACATACCCAGTACTTAAATTGAGGTGAAACAGGGGTACTCCATATCCCTTGTTTAAAGAGGTTTACAAAGTTCCCTTTGTTGCAAGAAGCTTTCACCTTTCCTCAACAAAGCTTCCTCCTCTGACTTAGGATTGATTACTTCACTGCCCTCAGACCAATAATTACATTAAGTAAGACACTCCCAATGAAAGATTATCCGTTGTCATACCCGGGCAGCATTCCCCTTGATATTTGGCAGTGATTGAAATGTATTCAGCTACCCTGTTGTTTCATTGCACCTTGAGGTGTGATGTATTTTAGAGGAATTTTACATCTTATTCAGGACAAGAATACAATAGTTCTTTATATGGGATAAATACTTGTTTTTTGTATCTGATAATAATGATAAATACTTCCTTTTGTGGTGAAAACTGAAAGTACACACAAACAAGATCAGGAATTTCACCAATGCAATAATACTATACTAATTAATATTCAGATGCTTTGAAATGGTTCATTACATTCCAGTCACACTATCATAAATACTATGAAATGGAACGGATGTCTTTGAAAGCTCCTGATATGTTTTCAGATGCTGCATATTGTAGACATGGGGAATCTCACAAATGTGCCTTATGTTTCTCAAAATGTCAAAAGAGAAAAGAAGGCAACTGTATTGCAAAAATGCATGGCTATGATGTACAGATAAATACAGGATACAGAGGATGTTACAGATCTAGTGAGAGGTGTGTGTCTTTGCAAAAAAATAAAAATCAACACTACAAGACCTACAATATGTAAACTTCCTCCAATTCCTTCTCTAACCTTTGGAGCAACTTCTCTGACTGAACCACATCTGGCCTCACCAAAACTGTACCTAGATTCAAAAGTAGGCTATTGAAAACAATAATAAGGGTCTTGTAATATTTATCAAAGAAAAATAAACAATTGTGGGTAGTTCAAATGAAGTGGAGAAATGTGTTCTTTGTAGATGTGAATGGAAAGCCAAAACACTTACTTTGTACAACTAGTAGCTGTTGCCAAAGAACAACAGCCGTTTTTATATCGCTGATTTCTAACATCTAAATTTTGGTGTATATTTCTTCTCATGTGATGTGCCTTTAAATTTGCCTTTTGCCATTTTTTTCACAGTTAAAACTTCTACTTAATATAAAACAAAGGGAGAGCCATTTCTCACTTATCATCACAAGAGCTGTTAGTCTAATACTGTACATCCCTTAAGCAGATCTTACAGGTGATGCTCACCAGTAATCCCAATTCTTGTATAATTCACAAAAACTCTTTCAAATGTGAAATATAACTATATTTCTATTGGTTTTTTACAGTATAAAAGCTCATGACAGGTCACAGACACTGGAGCTGGGCAGTTTGTATCAGTGTTAATGTGTACAATGTAACTTGAGGGGTACTTTGTTTAAATAAAGCCTTTCTCTTAGATGGTGGGAGTTTAGGCAGAAGCATATCTTCCATCATCATTCACTTCCCTTCTCCATCTTTATAAGGGTGCTGTCCTGCGTGGGCACATTGTTGATATAGAAATATTGTCAGGGTGACCTTTGTCACTGTTCATCTTTATCCAGAATTCTGTTGCACTACAGATTCTTTATCTTGTTCTTTAATTCACAAACTGTCTAGAGCTTGGAGCACTGCTAGCTGTAGTTTGACTATAACATCCAGAGTCAATCAAAATGTGAGTTTTTTTTCAGAATAAAAATTGAAAGCATTCACTTACAAAAGCTTACTATCTTAACATTACCATTGTGAAACAAAAAATCTGTGGACTTCATTGTAGTCAAACTTGGAAAACAAATTCCAACTTTGCAGAATTCTGGAATATTTCTGCATGTTTTAAAAAAGAGTAAAGATATTCTCACTCATATAATATCCAGGACTCCACAGAGTTTAGTTATATGATGCTTTACAACTTACTGGTTTCACTAGAAGCCACTGAGCAGTGCTATACAATAATTAATGAGCTGAAAACCCAAAAGAAGCAACCTGTCAATCAAAGTTTGTTTTATTAAATATAAACTCTTAGGTTTGCCAAACGCAGTTCAAATTCAAGTAGACAAACCTGCAGTGGTTAAATTGATTTGTATGCTTTGACTCCAGATGCATCCTGGCTTCGGTGTCTTCTATTCAAAGGATTCAATTCTGTTTCCAGCTGTGAAGCAAACATCAAAGTGGGATATGGTGGTTTTTACCAAGAAATGAGCCTAAAGGATCAGCAAAGAATCATGGCTCCTATCCTTTTCTGTCCATTACTGGACAGCTTTCTGGTTAACTGCTGATTAGGATTCTAGTGTAGATCTTAGATAAAAGAAAAGTAAAAAAAAAGTGAGAAGTATCTATTGACATAATGTTTTAAGCTCTTTGTATTTGTGTCCTTCAAACTCTAAATGTACTGTAATGTACATATCTGTAGTATACAGTACATATCACATTCTGCATACAGTATGTACACTTAATTCAGGAGTTCTACTAAATTACTGCCTCAATGCGTGTGGAAAATGACTATGTATTCTAGTCACACTGATTTACAGAGTAGGTTGAATTCCTTTGTAATCTACTATAGATTACAAAGGTTATAAAAAATGTTTTTTGTTCAGAGTAGTTTACTCCTCACAGCATAAAATGCACCATCTGCAATATTTTTAAAGGAATTTAACATGGTTAATGTTTTATGGAGAAGGAATGAAATATCTTTTTTGTAGGTGTGTCTTGTAAGAAGTATCCATATCCACAATTGCAAGCAACTGCGTGAAAATGCGATCCATAAAATTAGACATGTGTTGCACAATTCCGATCAATCCTGTGCAAGTTACTTCTGAAATCTGGTGAGCTCATTTTTCAGATAGCTTTTCGTTTGTTCATCTTTTGTGAAATGACAAGCCTTTCACAAAATGTATCCCTGCAGCCATGTACTGAATAAGAAACAGCCAAACCTGCTGTATGTTATTACTGTACAGCAGTGCGGAGCCTAAGATGCTAATATTTCAGGAGTGCTTTCTGGATGCTTTTCACAGAGATAACATTTATTAAGAGTGACTTTGGACCATTCTAAATCTCAAGGGTCTGATCTGAAGGTGGAAGCTACAGTGAATAGCTGAAAATGAATCTTCATTTATTATTGTTTTTTCCTTTTAACTCTTTCATCCCACCATAAACCAGTAATCAAACATGTCTTTAAAAAATGTTATTTCACAAAACCCTTGAAAATACCCTTTGTATTATAACTATCTTGCATTTTTAAAGAAGTTTGCAGTATTCAAGTCTTTGCTGGTTGGATTTCTACTCTGCATGCTAAAAAGTCCATTCCAAACCATGTTATTCTCTCATTGAAACAAATACAACACATACAGTATACTATATTTTGTTGTGTGCCTATAAAAAAAAGAAAATTAATAGAATAACTGGCACTGAAGAATAATAATGTAAAGCTTTCTGCTGATCATTGTTAGTAATGCAACTTGGTCCACATTGAGAACATCTTCTTTAGGTTGTGGCAAAGCAGGGTTTGTGCACAGATAAGAAACACTAGATCAGAACCTGTGGAATGTTACAGTTGGGGCAACCAAGTGACCTTCAGTGCAACTTAATTAACACGTTCTATGCATTGCTTTTCTTCAACGGCCATTTCATTCAGTGGTGCTCCAAAACCCAGGGAAGTAAGAACAAGGTGTTAGAAGAAAAACGGATCATTTCCATAAGCTAGAATTACCAATAAATTTTATGGGTGTCTCCAAATATAAAGAAAACATTTTTGAATAAATAGCCTCAGGAAGGAAGGTTGCTGGTCACAAATACATTTTTAAAATAAAAAAGAGAGTTAATTAAAATTATACTTTGGTAATATAATTACAAAGCAAAACCTTAAGGCACTGATTTTGTTATGTAGTGAGCTGTAACATGTATATTTTGTGCCATATGCATGCCCGCAGGGAAAGTCTCATCTGAAAAAAATTCTGGAAAGATCTTGACCTCCTTATTTCATTGGAGCACTCTGCAGTCCCATAAATGCACGTACCAGGTAGCATGTGGTGACAATGAAAGACCTTGGGTTGCATTAACACTCTTCTGCTTGTGTTCAGGTGAATTTGCTACCCTTCAAAACAGTCATTACCAAAGAAAGTATCCAAAACAAGTAATAAAGAAATGCACTTCTTCTAAATGTAAAACTGGGTCTTTTAGAGCGGATTTTGCAATGTCAAATGAAAATGAAGATATTGAAAATTCTCCTTCTATTTTATTTTAAATTCAGTTCATGTTCACAATAAACACTGGAAAATACTGTTAGCAGTTCACATTAGAAGAATCAAAAGAATCAACGCTTTGGTGTCTAACAGTAAACCACCATCAGTGCTTATCATCTCAGAAAATAAAATCAAGTATGGTGCTAAAAGATATAACATTGCCATGAAATGCTTTGGGCCTGAGGGCTGAATTCCCTAGTCACCATGCAGCTGTAAAATACTATTATTAGGGGTAAAGCCAACCCATAGAACTTTGTGACATTTAAAACAAGTGACATTTTGAGTTCTATACCATTATTGAGGATGATTGTAAAGCAACTTGAACGCCAACAAAAACAACGGCAATAATAATAATAATAATAATAATAATAATAATAATAATAGTAGTCGTAATAATAATAATACCGTCTGAGTGTTTTCTAGTAAACTCTTTGTCAGAAATTGTATTTTATTCAGATGTAATACTATTACCGCAGAAGAATAACTTTACAATTATACAGCATGAACATTATGGAAAAAGGATTCTTTCATTATTATTGTCAGGTAAGTAAGGCACTTGAGTTTATTTTTTTCTGAAAAAAAGAAAAACACACTCAAATGCATTTCCCCCTCCTTTCAAACAAGAAGAAAAATACACAGGATGCTGGATCCAAAAAGTAAACGCTGTGCTTGTAGAAATCATTCTAATTTAATTAAATTACCTATCCAATGTGGGTGAGAAAACGTACACACTATTGCTCAAATCGTCAGAAAGACTTGGCTGAATATCACTGAAGTAGCCCAAGTCAAGACTGTCACCCACTGCTCTGGATGAAACTCCCCTCTTGTCACAGTTCATTGTGCACATTTCTTTTAGGCTGCAGTGGCTGGCAAGCTGCAGGAGTTTGAAATTCCATAAAATACTGGCATTTACTGGGCTCTTTAACTGATTTCAGAACTGTCTCTGTGCCGCACATCAGCGTGACCTAGAAAAAAGGAAGGAGAAAAAAATAGCTTGGTCAGCTTAGGTCAGCAATGACGCCACGCTACTCCTAAATTCTTTCTGAAGGCTTTAGGGGACTATTCTAAAATAATTATTATTTTCTGTGCAAGAGCAGTATACTACACATTTGTGTTACTTTAAATAGCTACTTCACAGGCATTTTCATTTGCACTCATTTACAGTAACATACACATGTGAGGGAACAAATATGGTGACAACTCAGTATCTTCTTTTTTACTGTGAGTCTTCCTAGTTGGTAACTCATCTGTATGTCTTAAATTCTGGTCATTACTCTTAAAAATGATTCTTCTGTTGTTTACATGATGATACGATAGGGAAATTAAATGACTTCAGTTGTATAGATTTAACCAAGTCTACTGTTATCTTTTGCTACTATGACCAGAGGTCACCAAAACCGAACCTGGAGAGTTAAAGGGACTTGTTTTGCACGCAAACTATTTCCTTAGTTATCTGGGAAATTGTTTTGTTTTATCTAACATTTTTAGCCACTGACTGAAGACTCCTATAAAACCTGATGAACTTGGGTGGGTCTCCACAAATTGCGCGTAATCCAAATAAAAGTGTTCATTATTTACTGCCAACACTTTAGGAAAACATAGGTGATAATTTCTCAGTGCTCTTCTAGCAATGCTGGCAAAACATTACTCTCTGTGGCAATATGTATTTGAGGACCTAGGTCTTAGATTAGCAGATTAAGCTTGCATAGAGTTGCAACAATCTTGAATGAGCAATGTGTCCACAGGCATGCTGCAGTAGACTTTTTGGTGAACAGAAGTAACAGCAGGTGACAGCACTTATCCCCATTGTCAAATGGGGACTGCACGACTTTGTAACACTGCCAGTGCAGTGAACACTTGTGAACAAATTTTCCAACCACTGAGCCACTACACACTGGTGTGCTGTCGGTCAAACTCCAGTGTGCATGTAAAAAAAAAAAAACTTTGAAAATAAAAAAATGAATTATTTTAAACACGTAAAACTAGTAAGTACCACTCAAAAATAAAAAAAAAACATAATTAAAAAACAGATCACTTAATTTAAACATTGTTTCATTTCCATTACACTGTAAGAAACATGATATACAGTATATACTATAGACATTAAATAAAAACAACAAATTAATCAGATTGCTGATGTTATAGTTCCCACCTAATTATTTATATATATATATGATAAAGATACCTCTCATGCAATGTAATGCCAAATACGGTAGCTTTTTGCCAACTGCTGGCAACATTTTGAGCAGGAGCATGGGAAAGGATCAGTAAAGAATGCAAATGTTCTCTCATTGAACTGGCAGATAATTGTACAGTATTTGTTTTCAAAAAGAAAAGCTTTTGTTTTATGGTAACTTGGTTTGAAATACTGTATACAGAAAAGGCACTTGGTACAGCTTAATGGGAAAAGCAAGTTGTGTTATTTGCTGCTATCATGAGTGATATTTATTGTCAACTCTGTTACATACTTACTGTACAACACTGTATAATTTTGAAAGATGTTTGTGTCATTTGCATGGATATACAGCACAGCGTTTTTGCTTGACCCATTTGTACGTTGAGGTAGTAGGTTGAAAATGTCTTTGTACTACCTATCATATTTAAAATGAAAAGTTTAATTAATTTGAGCAAATTAGATACTTTTTCTTCTTGTGCAATAAAAACCAAACAAAATACATTTAATTAAAATACTATTTTAGACAAATACCTTTATAAATAACATACTGTATCTGACATGAGGATAACAGCTGAAATGAGTTTCGCAGTTAACAAAAATATTTTTTATACATTATTCAAATGAATTAATCTAATTTAATTCTAAAAATATGCAAAAGAAAAACAATTTTGTATTTGAGGGGATATGTAACTAAGAACTGGGAGGAGGAACAGATACAGTAATTCCATAATAACATGTGATTCTGGAGAAAGCAGAAGAAGGTGATTGGGAAAGCTGAAGCAATCACTTTCTACCACATGTTGCGTTGAGCACAGATAGCTCACAACTCCATACTGTATATAATCTTCCCTGAGATAAGTGTTGATGAATCTGTATTGTTGAGAGTACAACAGGCAGACTTGAAAACAATGTTCCCTCTAAACACAGGTTATAAAATCAGCACACATAGGAAGTTAAATTGCACACAAAAAATTAAATAAAAAAATTATAATAATAAAACAAACACGGTCATCAATTGAAAAATGCTAAATTGACCACATGAGACTGGCTGTGAGAGGCCCAACTTGGCTGTGTGCATTATTATTGCTACTCGATAATCGATATCTATGCTCTCGTAGTCTCGTACCTCACTGCTCATGCTCACTCGACACTCAGTCTTTATGACTGGGCCTGTTGAATCGCTGTCTTTTGGATCTCTGTGAGAATTACTATATTAACAAAAATAATTTCAGGTTTACAATTTTACACACTGTGTAATCAATTTAGCGCACACAAGTTTTTGTCACCGGGAAAAAAATTGCACAACTTGAATTTTTTGCACACACAGGCCATTAATAATTAGAGGGAACATTGCTTGAAAACATTTCTTCTACAGCTTTTCCTGAAAGTATCCATGGAAAATGTACTTTTGTTCAAATTAACACGTCAAAACTTTCCGAGAAATAATGACAGCAAGTGACCAAGTTAAAGAATTTGATGCTGAAAAAGTTTACGAAGAAGGTGGAATACTGTTTTGTACCTTGTTTTTTTAATTTTCAGCTACCATTACCAGTTATATACAGTACATATATAACACAACTATAGTTATATTAATAAATTAATATTGTTAATAATGCTCTGAAATGTTATATTTCAGGGGTAATTTTATTCACAGCTTCCATTTCCCTTTAGTTACACAATTACCTATTAAGGGGATTTAATGTCATAGGCTTGCAGCACAAGAATATTACAGTACTGGAATTCAAAGTACCAAAGTACAAAGTGGTGTAATGCAAGAGTAATCAATCTAATTGATCCAAGCTTCATTCATGGAATGTAATCCCCCTTTAAAAAAAGTGTTTAGAGCCAGGTTACATTTTAAAATGTTAGCTAGGCTACGTATTTTATATGTTTATATAATACTGTATATATTTTCAATAAACATTATTATTAGACTAAGAAAAAACAGTAAATGAAGCTACGGTTTCAGTAACATCTAACGCAATACAATTGCCACCTATTAATCTGCTTTGAGTAGTGACAGGCTGAAAGCGGTGTGGTGGACAGGAATGTAGTACTGGATACCACAGTGTGCTTTCTGCTGGCATGAATTTTGACATGTATTCTAGATGGTTGCATCTGTACTTTTGCCTTCTAGGAGGTGGGAGTGGTGTGAGCCACCTCATACAAAAAGAACTTTCACCCTGCCTTGAGACAGAAATTTATTCTCTTTAGTTAAAAAATATATAAGGATATAATCAATGTTTTGATTGCCATTGAACAGAGATGCTTCAACAGTGAACAACAACAGGGACATGAATATAATCTCTTCCTTGAAACCTTGAAAAAAGAGATCAGATTAACCACTCTTTATGGTCTTAATTGTTTGTTTAAATCTTTGGCAAACAGGGACTTGATGTTTCTAAGTTTGGACTGTTTTTTTGTGTTTAATTTTCAATAGGCTGCATATTTTTAAACCTGTTTCTGAATGAAATTAGCGGGTCCCTATTATTTTAGTTAAATTCCAGCGGACCGCACATTACAGTCCAGAAAACTTTCAGATTCCTTTATCATTATGTAATAAATAAATATTTCTATAATAACTTTCTTTCTAGATTTATATTACTTAAATATAGTATTCTGGTGCATCACTTTACTTAATTATTGAATATAGTGTAAAGCGCATACACTTTATACAGTACATGCACATCATTCCCTGTTTTCTAGACATCAAGCTTTAATGGTCTGAATGTTATTAGATAAAACTTTCTATAGATTCTATTGTAAATTATGGACAATAAATGTAATAATTGTTAATGGTGAACATTAACACTTGGGGGGGATTATTCTTCATTTCCATATTTTTATTAATACTGATAAGAACCATAGGAACCTTTAAGACACTTTTATTATGTGATTTTTCTGTGGTCTGATTGTACTTTTTAAAACTCCTCAAAACATTTAACTTGGTCCATGATTACTTCTTCAGCAGTTTCCATGGTAACCCACTCATTTCAGATTTTCCTCTTGCTTGCAATTCATCAGAGGTACAAACAGACCCAGCAAGAACATAAAAGTCTGAGAGATTTAGTACGGTATCATTCTGATAACTTAAAAGGCAGTGTGAATTATACAGTCCAGTACTGCCAAGCCTGAAAAGAAGAAAAATAAAACAGAACATAATATTGTGCAAATCATATAATGCTGATGTACTATACCAAATAACAACACAGATACAGATGCAGCCATTCAAAGTGTGCGGTACACACACATACCGGAGTTAATTGGCTACAGCGTCGTGCATTGTGACGCACGATGACGCGCGGTACCACGGTACATGATTGGTTGACCGACAGGGGCACTCGTGGTCCGTTGGTCTGTCGTAGAAAGATTTACAGTAAACGTCTTTACTGTGCCCGTTGTAGTATTGAATATTTATAT